AAGGCAGAATTCTTTTGCATCAGATTTTTGGTATAAATTTACTACTCCCTGATTGTCTTCAAACCACCAACATTAAAAAACAAATGAACAAATTAGAATGCCACATTCTTACGAGTGACTTTTCCTTATTAGGATAGGTACTTGGAATGCAGAATCACATAATGCACTGATTTCTTAGTGCCCAGATCCTAAGAAGTAAGAGTAGGGAGGACTCAGGCACTGAACAAAAGGAAAGTTTGATGTCCTTACAATGTATTATAACCAATTGTTGTAACATAACCACAAAATAACTTACTGAGCGCTGCATATTAGCCAAATTCTGAACTGAATGTCTTCCTGGGTAGTTTCCTTGAAGTTTTTATCCCATGTATGTTTTCACTGCTGAAAATATTTAAGAAAAATCTTTTCTAGGAGCAGCCTTTATACCAGTATATAAGCCTGGCAAAAAAAACAGACATGTGATCTCTTCTTGCCCAAAATAGTATTATCCTGCTGAATTCACACCCCTTATTCCTTCTACCTCTTACTTAGTCTTGACCTACATGAGACCTGGCTGCATCAAGAAAACAAACCAATTTGTAAAGAACAATGATTGCCATAACTAAGTATATTCAAAAGAATGTAATAAATGCCCTGAAGGCACTAAAATATGTAGTCCTTCCAAAACTCCAACTAAAACAGGAAAATACTCATTTGGAAGTTTAAATAATTTTATGTCTACTTAAAAATCAGTTGCATCTCATGATGATATCCTGTACTCCAGAAGAATAACCTTGTCTTGTATGAAAGACCCTGTTTTTAATGTACTTTACCCATACCTAATACATGTAATTGAAATATCACCTGGTTTTGATTTTGTTTAATGTCTGTGATAATTCAGATATAAAGAATACAGGCTGACTTTTTCTTAAGTAGTTTTAACTTTAAGACATACAAAACTGTTCTGTTAAAATGTAAACATTTGAGAATTGGATAAATAAACTATTGCTATTGTTCCAGAGTGACTTTTTTAATCCTTCTTTTACAATGGCCTTAGAAGGTTAGCATTAATTCTTTATGGCTTTGTTTACATTGATACAAGTGAAAAATTGTAAATAGTAAGTGACATGTTAAAATTAGTCCAAGTTATGTTAAGTTGCCTTGTGATATATAAATTGCAATGCTAATGAAAAAGATTATCACATAACATTTCATACCTCGAAGGCAACCCACAATCACTCTGGAAAAATAGCTGACCTATCTACAGTGCTAAAATCAACCCAACCCCACAACCTCATCATCTCAGCACAGTGGTTGTCTGAAAGACAGGTGGTTCACAAGACAGCTGTACTACTGTTAAAACACTCGCCTGCTGTTGGAGCTCTTGTGCAGCCAGCCCTTGAAAACCCCACAGTACAACACAAGCTTCTACATGAAAGAAAAGAAATACAAGAATAAACAGTGTGTGCCTTTCTTAGAAGCTTTGCTTTGACCCTAGAAATCCTTATAATTTTATGAATACACACACACACACACACACACACACACACACACACACACAACTGCAGATAAAAAGAAATCCTACCCCTTTATCTGAAGGGCACTCTTCACAGCTTGGTCCTACAATCAGTAGTTTGAGAAGACAGATTTTTTTTTTTTTCCCTTATACACTTCATCACATTTTTCTAATACTAATTTGGTTTTTTGGCCTGATTAGATAAGCTCCTTTGAAACCTCATCAAATCCCTTTCTCCCCCAGTAAAACAAATCCACAAAAAAAAAAATCCTATGTGTAAGTGATACGTCACTTGCGACTTTCCATTATGGCTCCTAAAAAGAAATGTGAAGAACTGTAACACAGCAGCATTTAACAAAGGGTCATTATTGCTGTGGGACCAATAGTTGATCACTGGGTAATGCAGTTGTCTCCCATGTCCTGGGCATAGCGATCTGATATTGTAGTCCTTAATTCATCGATGTCCCTCCGTAACTGGCATACATCTGACAATTTTTTAGTGAGTGTTTCTGGGCTACAGTCATTCTCAGTCTCTTCAGCTGAACAGTTCATTGCTGTGGAAATAAAATACGGAGAATGTCTCACACTTTTTTGAACAAAAGCATTTTAGGATTTTTAACTTCAGTATCATTAGAAATATAATGCTGTATGCTGAATACCAGTCAGGTTCAGGTTTACATGATGTATCACTGAGTATTAAATAGATCTTATTTACTTGCTCCTTTTAAATTTTTGCTAATTGTGTTAAATCCATACAGTAATACACACGTTTAACATCTGTAAAGGATGACAACATTCCAAAAGTAGGAAGAAGCATGCTCTAATAGCTCTCTTCAAGCTCAACTACAGCACTCATCCTGACTTGACAAAAATCTGAAAATCACTTCTGTATTAAGGAGTGATAGCTTAAATTTTTATAGACTGCAAAATGGGTTTATTGACATGAAAGCATAAATTTCCAAAACATATGGTGTGTGTGTGTGTGTGTGTGTGTGTGTGGACCACTACAACCCTACGCAATTGAACTGGGCTGATGGCTAGCTGCCCAATGGCTGAATGACTGAGGGTGAGGCTCCGAGGCAGCTGGCTTGTAATTATTTACGTCAGTTCCTCTCTCTGTCAGCACATCTCAACATAAAAGCAGATGGAGCCAGTGATTGTAAAATAAATCTTTCCTTATACCTTCATTGGCTTTGGTAGCTTATTGGAAGTGTAAGAGTCAGATTAACTTATCTGTTATTTTAACAAACACTAACTGAACACCTGCTATGATCCAGGCACTACTCTAGATGCTAAGGCCATCAGAATAATGGATGTAGTAGTTTATTCTTAATGATTTACATATACTTCATAAACAAGCACAGTCAAGTATTGTAGGTGTCCTACCACCATACACAGGCTACAAGAGCACAAGGAAGAGAACAACCAGCCTATCTGGAGAGGGCACAGGTTCCCTGGATGCGCCAAGGATGCAGAATGAATAAAGGTACAAAAGCAGAAAACCAAAGAATCTGAGAAACTTCAAGAAAATGAGTAACAAGCTCTAAAATGGCAGAGCACAAATTATGAAAGGCAAGGGTCAAGAAATAAGGCTAAAGAGGCAGGTGGGAACTACCTATCCCCTATTTTAGGGGACTGTAAGTATTAGGAAATCAGAATCACCATTAGGTTAGATCACTCTGGCAGCAATGTGAAAACATTTGTATTAGTGGGGGAAAGTGGGCAAGACAGTTGACAAAGAGACCAGTGCAGGTGAAGACTTTGAAAGCTTGATTTAAGGCAACAGGGCAATGGAGATGTAATGCGAGGAATGAATGCCAGGAAGGGACTGGTAGAAATGACAGAGCTCAACCATCATAAGTTGTATGGGGGTTAGGGACTAGGCAAACGACACACCCAGATGAAGGAAAGAGTAGGGTGGAGAAAAATCTGGATTAGTGTGATAGGTGGATAGAGGTGCTACTCACTCAGAGGAGGAGCAGGTTTAGGAAGGGAAGAAAGGTAGGTTCTCTTTTGGGTATAGTTGAGTCTATGATGCCTATTGAGTAACTGGTTCTAATATAAGGTAAGTATAATCAAGAGCCCTGAAGGGACATTCTAGGCAGAGTAAGAGATAAATGTCTGTATGCACTAACAGAAAACAAAAGGACTTGGGTAAGATGACTGAGAGAAAATATATAAAAAGAGGCAAAAGCATCTAAATTTTTGAGGAATAAATAAGACTTTCACTATTTGCAGATGACACGATTTGCAGAAAACCCTGAAGACTACCAAAGAACTGATAAATGAATTCAGTAAAGTCACAGGACACAAATTATACAAGTATAAAGAAACCTGCTGCATTTCTATACACTAACAGTCAAGTAGCAGAAAGAGAAATTAAAAAAAACAATCCCATTTACAGTTGCACCAAAAAGAATACAATACCTAGGAATATACTTAACCAAGGAGGTGAAAGACCTGTATGCCCTTAACTATAAAACATGGATGAAAGAAACTGAAGACGACACCAACAAATGGAAAGATATACCAAGCTCATGGATTGGAAGAACTAATATTGTTAAAATATCCATACTACCCAAAGTAATCTACAGATTTAATGTAATTCCTGTCAAAATACCAACATTTTTCACAAATGTTGTGAAATAATGCTAAAATTTGTATGGAACCACAAAAGACCTCAAATAGCCAAAGCAATCTTCAAAAACAACAAAGCTGGAGGTATTGTAATTCCAGATTATAAGACATACTACAAGGCTGTAGTAATCAAAACAGTGTGGTACTGGTATAAAAACAGACACATAGATCAATAGAACAGAATAGAGAGCCCAGAAATAAATTTATGCTTATATGGTTAAATTAATCTTTGAGAATGGAAGTAAAAATATACAATGGGGAGAAGACAAATGGTCTTTGGTTCACTCAACCAATGGTGTTGGGAAAATTGGACAGCTACATGCAGAAGAATAAAACTGGACTGCTTTCTTAGACCATACACAAAAATAAACTCAAAATGGGTTAAAGACCTAAATATGAGGCCTGAAACCATAAAACTCCTGGAAGAAAACATAGGCGGTAATTTCTTTGACATCAGCCATAGAAACATTTTTCTAGACAGGTCTTCTCAGGCAAAGGAAACAAAAGCAAAACCAAACTAATGGGATTATACCAAAATGAAAAGCTTTTGCACAGCAAAATGAAATCCATCAGCAAAACAAAAAGAAAATCTATAGGATGAGAGAAGATATTTGCAAATGATACACTGGATAAAGGATGAATATTCAAAATATATAAAGAACTTATACAACACAATACCAAAAAACCCACAAATAATCCAATTTAAAAAAAGAAACAACAACAAAAAAAATCAGCAACAAAAGATTTCTGGGAGACACTAATAATTTAAATGGCAGAGAATTCCAGAGAAGACTAAGACTCAGCAGTCATAGAGGCAGAAGTAGAACCTAGAGAACGAAGCCATGGTAGCAGAGCATTTGAAAAAACAAGGGTGGGGTGAACAGTGTCAATGAGCAATGGATGGAGTAAGGAGACAGGTATTCAAAATAATCCACTGGTTTTTGGCAAATTAGCTAGCTGGTCAAATTTTCACAGTACCAGGATATAAGGTAAAGATTATGGGGTTAAACTTGAAAGACTGGAAGGGGTATACACTGGGAGGTGAATGTGACAAAGTTCTTGAATCTCTCTTTTTATTCACATTTGGATAGCTCTCTTAATCTAATTACTGGAAAAGTTTGACAAATACTATATGTAGAAGAATACAAATACAGAAGGTTACAAAATAACTGAAGGGGTGACCACCTGTAAAATGTTGAAGAGAATGAGTCTTTTGTGTGTGAGCTTTTACTGCTAACTAAACCACCCTGTGTTGACCTGGCAAACCTCTCCTCCTCTAAGATTCAAGCCAAACACCAGAGCCTTCACAGCCCTTCCCATTTAGTTTTCCCCTTGGGCCCCCATTGTCCTCCGCCCACATCTCAATTATAGTACTTACCACAATGCTCTAGTAATTTAGTTTGTGTGTGGGCCAATGGCTGTGTTCAACTGCATTATCCGTACCTTAGTATCTGGACTATATAAAGCATTTAATAATTACTAAGTCAATATACTTAACACTTTAAAGTATTTCTTACATGCCCACACATATGTATACACACATCTATGAAGTGGAAGGGAAAATGCTGCTGACATCTCCGAGCACAGTTACATGTTTCATTTAATAAGGGCTATACTTTGATGGAAAGTATTCTTGGGTTTGCCAAAATAACTATCATGATGCCAGATGGTAGAAACTTTTTGATGAAACTGTAAATAAAACTGGTGTCCACTCTAGTCACATATTAACCATATTATTAGGCAATTACTCAGTACAACACAGTAGGTGCATAAACCTTTTGGTCTTACTCCAATCATATCTCCTTACTTATGCCCATTTCTTCTGTATTAAAAAGAGGCCAACATATCAATATTATAGTAATTTAGAACCACATGCAGAGATGCATGTTTCTACAAAAGCAGCCCAGAAGGGAAACTAGGATATTCTTGTGGCAGCTCTCACAACTATGTGTGGAAGAACATGGAACTGAGGAACAATGGGTGGGTGTCATATTGAAAGAGACAAGGCCAGAGTGTATGTGCATGACAAGGGCAACAGATCTACAGGCCATGAAAATTAGCTCTTGTGACAGCACGGGTAGTTATATATATGTTAAAGATTTTATTTATTCATTTGAGAGAGAACACACAAGCAGGAGGAGAGGCAGAGGGAGAGGGAGAAGCAGACTCCCCGCTGAGCTGGGAGCCTGACGTGGGGCTCGATCCCAGGAAGGGATCATGACCTGAGCCGAAGACAGATACTTAACCAACTGAGCCACTCAGGCGCCCCAGCACTGGTACTTATATTAAGCAACTGCCACAGACATACACTGTATAGGGAAAGCAAAGGAGTTATCTTCTCTCAAATATTTTACCAGCAGACAGATGTTGGATCATTAACTTATACAATTAACACACAAAAGCCAACAGAATCACTACTTTTAGAAGAGTAATCAGGAATATCACACCTAACTACCACTCCACTCACATATTAACAGATTCAGCATAGCTCATCCACACAGGTAGATCTGTAGGCATTCTGCCAGGTGGCAGTCCCTATTAACTATGACCCTGCTCACTTCTCTAAGTATGAGGTAAATTCTAGCAATGAAGTAGTAACAGGTATTCACAGACCTACAGATTTACTCAGAGATTTATAAATCTAAGTAGGAAAGGAGATAAAAACAAATAAGGAAAAGGCAGTAAGAGGTTCCTGATTCATGAAGACAGGTTTCTAATTGCTAAGCAATATAGTAAGGACAAAGGCATCAGCGACTTACATCTGATTCCCAGTAATAATGAAAGATTAGGCTCCTTGCCCTGAGCACGCTGATTGAGAATACTACACAATGCCTTCAAGTCAAACAAACAATAGGACATTTCCTTGAACAGCTGATCAATCACACTCAAATCGGATAGTGGCCATTTGGTAAGTACTGTCTGCTGCCTGGATTGGTCTGCTTCCTGGCCCTGATCCAATAAAGAGCACGTCTCTTCTGTTTGCCTTTGGTTCTGCAAAGGATAAAGAAAACATAAATCGGGTTGTTAGAACAGAGAAAGGTTACTCAAAGCCATGCAGTTGTCTGAACATTATCCCCCATTTATAAACAAAACGGTGGAGTCATATTACATACACATTAACCAAATTTAACTGCATACACACAGTAGGAAAAAAAAAGGAATTTAAAATAGTGGAAATGAAATGATTCAATGATTCCTCTGTGTCATCTCATGCCCTAGGGTAAATCTGAAAGGGGCAACAAATCCAGACTCACTTTCTAGGAGTATCTCATGCCACATAATGTCACATAATAAGCATCTTGGTTGTATATGTATTCTTCTATAATGAAATTTATCCCAAGAACAAAAAGAACTATGAAGAAATTTTAAATCTCATCCTATAGTTTTACCCTTAGTAGCAATAATGATTTAGTTACTTTGAAACTATCTGTTGCATATTGAGAAAAAAGTGTATACATTATGTTAATGTTGATAGGAACCAAAATTTTCAGCATAAGAGAAAAAGAAATGAAGTATAAAATCAAAGAAAGGAAAAAAACCCTAACAATTTTGAATTGTGAAATTTGAATTGGAAGTATCAATATGAACTCATAATTTATTACACTCAGAAAAATCTACCTTCACTTCATCCCCAAAACTGTCACCATCTACTTCTCATTCTGAAAACTGCTAGAGGCAATTTAATTAGCTTTCCAGTTGGAACTGTATTTCAAAATAACCAAACAGCTGCATTGATGAGGAAAAGATTTTTTTAATAGATGAATGCCAGCTAATAAATGTAAAAATAATTAGAAACAAATATGATTCTTTTAATCATGTAATGATTTAGACAATGATCATCAGTGAAAACTAAAACCATCAAGGGAAAGGGTACTGATAAACTGCATATTCACAGTTACCTAAGTATCATTCCACAGATTACCTGCTATTTGCAGAGGCCATAATGAGATAGTGGAAAAATTAGTCTGTTACCATTCTAACCCAGTGAGATCAGTATTTCTGTCACTTACAGTGGGATAACCAAACATAAATAATTTGATGACATGAACAACACCTACAAAGTCTTCATGCCAAAAAATGTTTGATTTGACTTAATGATATCTTTAGCTCTTACTTCTAGGTTATAAGAGATAGAGGGGTAGATAACAAGATAAATGACACCATAAGAAAGCAATCAGGCACATCTAGAAGGCCTGATTATCTATAAGTCTTTAAGACAACAGGCCCAGATTTGTCAACAAGTCACTAACATGGAAAAAGTGAGAAACTTTACGACAAAATGAAACCCAACTTAATGGTCTTTGATTGAATGTTGGTTTCAACGGTCATAAAAAGCATCTGGGAAAGAAGTGGGGAAATTTTGGTACAGACTAGGTATCATCAAATATCGAGGAATATTATTCTTACTGGGTTTGACAACGGTGGTACAGTTATATGAGAAATGTCCCTAATTTTTGGAGATGCATTTGGGTATTTAGAGGCAAAATGTCATGATGAGAGTTAAAAAACTATCATAAGTAATTTTTTTTTTTTGTAAAACATATCCTTAAATGCAAGTCAAGTGTGTCATCTTGTAATTAAATGAAGAAAGTGTGACCTGTTCCAATGATGGAAGTGTCAACATTGCAACTTCCTTAAGGATTTCCAAAGGTAATTTTATTTATATTCAATTTATGCTTTACTGAATTACTCTGGGACCTAATCTCTATATAATATTTGACTGTGTTGCAGTTAAGTCTGTGAAATTATATTCTGAGACATAAGGAAAATAAAAGTTTGCCTTTTAATTATAATTTTGTAAGAAACCTAATGGATTTAATTGGCATACCAAAATCAAGTCTTCAACTAAAAAATGTTCTATGAATATGTACAAAATAAGTATCTGCTTTAACTTAAATAAGTACTGTATCGTTCTTTGAAAACAATTTGAATTTCTTCTACTCACATCAAGCAGTGTTTTTGTTAATCTCTGTAGGTTTCTTTCTTTCTTTTCCAGCTCTTCCATCATCTTTTGAGTAGTTGATTTTTCTTTAGAAAGTTTCCCTTGCATAGACTAGAACAGGGAGAATTGGGAAGCAAAGCATGTTGTTAATGCTAAAAGCTAAATGCAGAGAGGTTACCAGGAATATGGGCTCTGAATACTTTGGATCTGTCCTCCCTACCCCTTGGAAGATGAAGCCTTCACTTTCAAATCAACCCATATTTCTCTAGAGTGGATGTCAGCAGAGGGAAAAACAAATATCCACCTTTACCAAGAAAGTTTTTAATCTGGGAAAAACATGTTAAGCTGCTCTTTAATGCTATGTTACAAACAGTTTTTATTTTATTAATTTTTTTGTTTATGCCTTCAGAGTGTATTAGCAAATCTATACTTCCCCCTTTTTTTCTTATGGTTAATAAGACAAAACACAGTAAGATTGTAAGACCATCCCCACATTTTCTATCATTTGAAACACACTTCTCTCAGTGTATGGTATTCCAAGCAGTAGTTATGATGCTGAATTTGGGCCAAAGGTTTATTATGAAACTTTAATAAATGAATCTCTCAACTCTATTATAAAATTACAAATTATCCAGAACAAGATACTACTGTAAGAAAATCCTGAGTGCACCAAAGCAGTATACAGGATATCTTGAGTACTTGGGTTATTTCAGCTCTTAAGTCTGGTTTTCAGCTACACACCAAAGAAAAACTTGTCATAAACTCTGTAGTTATCAGTGATTTCTAGGTGTTTCAATCAACATTTTTTCCTTTTGTGAAATCACAAGATCAATAAACATATAACAAGAGATTTCTTTTATTTCCCCCTCAGGACTGTATTTATTTTAAATTTTATTTTATTATGTTATGTTATGTCACCATACAGTACATCATTAGTTTTTGATGTAGTGTTTATTTAGTCTTAATTCTGAAACTACTTCAGAATGCTGACTACCGAAATAGCACACACTCCACTAGGAAGGTTTCCCGCCCCCCTCACATTATCTCTCCCTGGAATAAGAGAAGATAGCTGTCACCATGGGTTGAGATAAGACTGTAAATACAAAGCAGTTTTCTCAGAAACAGATATTCAACCAAGTAGCTCTTGCATTTGTTTGTTAAACTCTATAAAAAACTTTACATTTAATAACTTGCAAGTTGGATACAAATGAATTAAGCTCTATAAGAAGTATATATTTCCTTCCAGGGTAAACTTCATACTCCACAAAATTTAATCTCATAGCACGAAGTCACGTGGGCTTTCTGAGTATGTATATTTCTGGATTCTGAAATTCCTTTGTAACTGCATGTGATAAATCAAAAAACCCTATTTGACTAAAGGATATATAGGGATTTATTCATCTAGTTGAAGATCTATGCATACTGGCACAACATGATTGACTGGAATCTAGAATTCATCCTAAATTTTCTTAACATTTGTGACTATTCATTTTATCAGAACTGTGGAAAAAAGGCACCACAGATTAACTACTCTAAATCTAACATTTTAACAATGAAAACTGACCCTGAGAGGTATTTTCACAATGCTATAATAGAATTCTTTAGAAAATTCTAGTGTTTTATATTTTTACCAATTCAGAGTCATAATGAATGTGACTAATAATTAGCTAGCAAATGTTTGTATATAGGACTAAATTTAAATCAGTGAAGAAACAGGAAATTTTCTCCATCAGAATAAATCAGAAATGTCTGGCAGTAGTGCTGTTTGTCACAGGAAAAAATTTGGATTTAGATTTGGGAAATACATCAAGCTTAAGATGTTATGTTGGTTGGGTACAAGGGTACTTACAAATTAGTTCTTTACTAGGGGAAGCAGTTCACAGATAAGCTTATCCTAAAAGTTCCATATGCTGTACAATTTCTAGAATAGTACGAGGGTATGAGTGCCATAGTTGTCTGACACAACATTCCACCTAAAAGATTATTTCTTTATTCTAAATTGTATGAAAAAGCCTATGTTTAAAGTTTAAGAAAAAAAGAAAGGAAAATTTCTATGAAGCTTAGAATGGGATTACTAAAATTAAAAATTTTAATTTTCAGATGTCTATATTATCTCTTTAAATTTCCAGTTAATAATCATGTTTTTAAAAAATCCTAAGTTACTAACCCACAGATATTTATCACAATCATTCTTGAAGTTGAAAAATGGTTTTAAAAACATTTGTTGCTTTGATCTAAATATCTAGAAATTGCTGTCTTTTGTCCCATATACAAAATAGCTCAAATGAAGGAAAGATAGATGTGCCTTAGTCAACAATTTTATACTTCCCAAACCCAATTTAAGAGAAAATATTTTGATTGAAAACTTATATTATTTTACTATATAAACACACAGAACCCCCCATACATGCACATGCATGTGTGCATGCATACACACACGAGTTTCATAAAAAATTCATGCAATTATTCATTGAGCAAAAATTATAGCCAAGCACAGTCTGTGCACTGGACAATGCATCAGTGAAAAAAAGTCAAAACTGCTGGTCCTTTTGTTACTTTTACTAGGAGGTAAAGATCAAGGAAAATACAATAGATATGTAAGTTACATAGTATTATATATTAGAATGTGACTAGCTCTTTGGAGAACAAATAGAGCATGGCAAGGGAGAGGATGGATCTCAAATGGGGTAAAGTACAGGCTCATGGAAAAAGGTGACATTTGAGCAATGTCTTGAAGGAGGTGAAAGATTACATCTTGTAAGATATCTACAGAGTGTTTCAGTCAGTGCAAAAGTTCTGAGGCAGATGGTGTCTTCTGTGTTTGAGAAAAGGCAAGAGAGCTGGGGTGGCAGAAAATAGAAAAAGATGAAGTCAGAGAAGGCGGGCGGTATAGAGAACAGATTGTGTAAGGCCTCATGAGCCAGTGTAAAAACTTTGATTTTTACTTTGGAAGAAATGAGGAACCACTGAAAGGTTCTGAGAAGACATAATGATCTGGTTTTTGTTTGATAGGTCCCTCAGGCTAATGAGAATAGACTGTAGGCAAGCAAGGATGGAAGCAGGCAGAAATCATCAATATAAAGAAAAAAGATGGGGTGGACCAGGGTAGAAACACAACAGAGGTTGGGAGAACGAGTCAGATGCTAGATATATTTTGAAGGTAGTAAGATTTGTTCACAAATGTGAGGCAGGAGAGAATCAAGGATAAGTCTAACGTTTCTGGACTGAGCAAATGGAAGGAGAGATGGCCACTAATAAAGAAGGAAGACATGGAGGGTAGAGTAGGTTTTACTATTTTCTGTTTGGGGAGAGTGAGAAATTCAATTTGGACATATTATGTCTGTCTGATATGTCAAGTGGTGCTGTGGAGTAGGCAGCTGGATATACAAGTCATAAGGTCAGGAAAGAATTATGAGCTGGAAGAAGTTAGGGAGGAGCGAGCACACACATTATACGTAAAGCCGTGAGACTGGGTAAGATCCCTAAGACAAGTACTGGTAGAGAATTCTAGCAAAGAAACAAACCCCCTTTGTGGAAATATGATACAATTTTTCAAAAACATTTTACATGTCTTCAAAATAAACTTTAACTTAAATATCACAAATGAAATTAAACTTATCACTAAATTATAAGATAGAAGAATTTCTAAATAAGGTACTTTCTCCAATTTTTATATACTAGACTACTAACCTGCCTTTATCTTTATTATAAAAGGATTTGTGCTACAGGTGTTAAATTTATTGTGTCTAGTTAAATAAATCAAACAAGAGAACAACAAAAAACTTTTTTAAAAAAGTTCTTCTGAAATTTTTTTGGCTAAAATTTTATTGTACATATTTCAATGATCTAGAAAGTAGGTAAAGTCAATCACTTTTAAGTTTATTTAAATTTAAAGATGAACAGATGAAAAGTTCCATACTGTTATGATTCTATTAGTACAAATACACTATTCTTGAAATAATGTAACTATAACAAAGGTTAAGATAAAAGTGCTACTAGCATTAGAAATAGCAATAAAGAACACGCACACTTAACAGGTAAGGTAATAATGGCATCTAGAAAGCATTAACAAGGGGAACACATTCTTTTTTTTTCAGGGAGGGGGGATGGATTCTTTGAATGAAATTTAGGGATACTGTCTCTCAACACCTTTTAAAAAAAGTAGTTAAGAAAGTTCATCTCCTACTTGAGGCCACTCCATCAAGACTGGGAGAGGGGGCTGTTTAATGCATAGAAACAAACACAGAAGAGTAAAAAAAAAAAAAATTTAAAAAACAGAGGAGTACGTTCTAAATGAAAGAAAAAGATAAAATCTCAAAAAAAGATCTTAATGAAACAGAGATAAGTGAGTTCAAAATAGCAGTAATAATGATGCTCACCAAGGTCAGCAAAACAATGCATGAACAAAGTCAGAGTTTCAACAAATAGAAACTATAAGAAAGTACCAAGCAGAAGTCACAGAGCTGAAGAGTATAATAACTGAACTGAAAAACATAATAGACGGGTCTATAGCAGACTGGATGAAGCAAAAGAATGGATCCCTGGGGCGCCTGGGTGGCTCAGTCATTAAGCGTCTGCCTTCCAGTCAGGTCATGATCCTGGAGTCCTGGGATCAAGCCCCACATCGGGCTCCCTGCTCAGCGGGAAGCCTGCTTCTCCCTCTTCCACTCCCCCTGCTTGTGTTCCCTCTCTTGCTGTCTCTCTCTCTGTGTCAAATAAATAAATAATAATAATAATAAATCTTAAAAAAAAAAAAAAGAATGGATCCCTGAACTCAAAGACAAGGTTGATTCAATCAGAGCAGCAAAAAGTGGAAGAATGAAGATAGCTTAAGGGACTGAAAGGACAATACCAAGCAAATCAATATTCGCATTATAAGGGCCCCAAAAGGAGGAGAGTGAGAAAGGAGCAGAAAACTCATCTGAAGAAACAATGGCTGAAAATTTCCCTAACCTGGGGAAGGAAGCAGACATCAAGATCCAGGAAACCAAGAAAGTTCCAAATCCAATGAACCCAATGGAATATTACTCAGCAATATAAAAGAAGGAAATCTTGCAACTTGCAACAATGTGGATGGACCCTGGGGGCGTTATGCTAAGTGAGACAGAGAAAGGCAAATGCCATGTGATCTCACCTGTGAAATCAAAACAGACAGACAAACAAAAACCCTCAGAGATAACAGAATGGATTAGTGGTTGCCAGAGGTGGGTGGGTGGGGGGAAAGGATGAATGAAGGGGGTCAAAAGGTATAAACTTTCAGTTATAAAATAAGCCCTGGGGATGTACTATCAGGCATGGTATCTACAGTTAATACTGTATTGTATATTTGAAAATTGCTGAAAAAGTAGATCTTAAAAGTTTTATCACACACACACACACACACACACACACACACAAAAACTGTAACTATATGGTGATGGGTATAAACTAGACTTATTGTGATCATTTCACAATATATAAAATATCAAATCATTAGATTGTACACTGGAAACTAATATAATGTTACAGTCAATTGTATATCAATAAAAAATAAGTTCACAGGTAAAAAAAAGTGTATACAGTTAATAGTAACAGCTTAAGATTTTTTTTTTTTTTTTTAAGATTTTATTTGGCAGAGAGAGACAGCGACGGAGGGAACACAAGCAGGGGGAGTGGGAGAGGGAGAAGCAGGCTTCCCGTGGAGCAGGGAGCCCGATGCAGGGCTCGATCTCAGGATCCTGGGACCATGACCTGAGCTGAAGGCAGACACTTAATGACTGAGCCACCCAGGTGCCCCCAGCATAAGATTTTGTAGTCAGACAAAACTAGGTTCTGGGTCCACAGCTTACATGCTGTGCAACCATGGGTATATTATTTAACCTTTCAGGGTTCCAAATTCATCCGAAAGAATTTCCAACCTTGTAAGGTATTGTGAAAATTATGCAGTGTGTATGCAGACATTTGTGGTGTCTGCCTATTCAAAAATCCCATAAGTCATAAGCATCATATTTGTAAAGATTTTGCATCTCTTGGGGCACAGCTCACTGGATTGGGCTGAGTGAACATTTGACCAAACTTGAGGAACTGGTACCCAGAGTCTATGAGTCTCTCTCTGTGTGACTGGAAATGAACTATAGAACTTAGGGGTTGCAGGGCAGCTATATTTTCTCATGTAAGCTAAAGAATAAAGGAAGCGAGTCTGCAGAGAAAAGAATGAAACATACTACAATAGAGCCACCCTATGACCTAGCAATTGCACTCCCCAAAGGCACAGATGTAGTGAAAAGAAGGGCCATATGCACCCCAATGTTCATAGCAGCAATGTCT